ATTTATAAATAAGGGGAAAATGGCATAAATTCGGTCTAAATAATAAATTTACAAACGGCGCCCCATAGAATCTCAGCCAAAAACTCTTTGATTTAAAATGGTTTTATTTCTTGTTGAAATAATCCTTGCTCTGAAACTTGTAAACAACTTGGTATTAATTTATGGAAAGAGGCGTAACCAGAAAGGCCGTCTTTCTTCGAAAATTAATTAAACTCCCCATTGGTACTCTCTTGTAAGTTCCGACTCCCAAACTCAAATCCTTTCTTCATGGCCCAATACGGGGTAGGTAAAGTCTGCATACGAGCCAAGTGGTCCATCAGGCTGGTGCTTATCTCCGGTTTCAGTAGCATGAAGCGACCAGGAGTACTTCTATTCCCCCTGGATAGGATGCTGGTCCATTGCAGGCCGGTTACCCCCCAGCATTATACACCTGGATGGACAGAGGCACTGTGAGAGTGAAGTGTCTTGCCCAAGAACACAACACAATTAATGTCCCCGGCCAGGACTACTCGAATCCGGAGACGAGCGCACTAACCATGAGGCCACCGCGCCTCCACACAAATGTGGGGTGCGAGTAGATAACTCCTGCGTGTGTCCAGAATTAAACCTTGGACTCCAATAATAAATTCGATGTTCAATAGAGTGTTTTCGTATGACGTCATGGCAGCCATAAGATGTTCAAACACAATGTAACGGCCGCCCGTTATTTCTTATGTAAACACTTTTTCTTGTTCCAATACATTTGAATGGTTGTTGACTTCGTGAGTGAAAGGATTTATGGGTGGTTTGCAACCATTCCCGAAAGATTCAAATGACAAAGACCCTGGCGGCCCTATTTAGGATTCTTTTAAATGGTCATCCACAATGGCGGCGATGACGTTAGATGGAAATGAGATGTAAAAATGCGCAAAATTGGGTTATCAGTCAATATGCTCACCCAGATTATAGTCTGTGATTGCTTATCTGCACGAGATTCGGTAAGAAAACGAAAAAGTTACTTTATGCTCACGCCAGCTTCAGCCATGTGCCGAACCGTGAAACTTCACCTGTGACTGTTGCGCATGCGTACTTTCGCTAAAAGACAAGGGTAACGCAGGCTATGGGAACTCTGGGAACGAGAATGTAAAAGATCTTACTTAAGCATAATATTCTAGCTCATGGTAGTTTGGCAGTTGTTGACAGGTAAAACCCAGACATAATAAAAGAAATGGAGCGAAATGGAGAAACATACGTGATTATCACCAAAGTAAACACGTTCAGGATGCTCTACGTGCCACTTAAATTTGATCATTACCAAGCGAAAACTTTGGTAAAACAAAGAGACTTCCCACCGTACCCTCACGAAGGAAAAAAGAGCGCAGGCTAAATAGCTTTTTAAAAGTATCACTCTTACAGCAGTTCGCAGGGCCATTTGTTTAAATGATCTGTTTAGTGAACCCTAAACGAGACCAACGACATCAACGTCATTTCATCAACAATACCGAGACTTAAAGACATGACTGATCAACTCAGGCCAACTGGGAAGTGGTCACGCTGTGAGATCGCAGTATAGCCGTACGGATGAAGAAAATATACACTTATAGATCTAGACTTAGTGTATATTCGAAAGAAATATGACTGATCATTGCAGTTATGTCCGTAACTTACAGGGGGCTCTTTCGCAACTGCCTAAGTGTAATTGCGATAATCAGTCATGCCTTGAAATAATGCTCAATATACTTAGCAGCTTAGGGACAAAACAATTTTATAGAAGTGAACGGGATTTTAGGCTTTAGAATGAAGTATTTTAATCGAGTGTGAAAGAATCACAACATTTATTCTGTCATCTTTTACAGGGAAACTTTGTACTATTACACACCCACTTAGAAAGATAGTAGAAGTCTCACTTTATTTTCCTCCAAACCTGAGTTACATTAATGACTTTACCACTGCTCTCTGCTTCTAAGGGTGTCCTGGTGCTTTTAAAGCGCTTTCTAATTTGACCAACTGAAAACATCGGGGTAACATAAATTAATATTGAGTAGTATAGACAGCCATTTACTGGTTATGGGCTGGACAGCAGCTGCACCTTGATTTCACTCGGCTATCAAGGCTGGAGAAGAACTTTTCCGGTGGTCTTTCTTCCCTCCAACATGTCATGGGCCTTCTTGGCGTCAGACAGAGGAAGAACTGTGATTCCCCCGCTAAATTTGAGCTTTCCCTCTGTCAACCAAGAAAACAGTTCTGTAGCTCTCTGCTTATACTCCGCTGGATCGTCCACAAAGTGAATGAAGGCAGCGAATGTTAGGTAAAAGGAGCCTTTGCCTAAAACACGGGGGTTCAGCGGGTCAGCCGGACCTGAAGCAGCACCGAATGCTACAACAGTTCCTCTCCGTGCCAGGCAGTCAAAATCTGAAAGTAAACGAAAGAGCCTCTTTTAAATCACTTGAGTACTAACTACTCTGTCATGTTAGCTCATCTCAAAGAGGATGATCACAAACAGTAATTCAGATTACAGATCAATTGTTTCCTCTTCTTGCACTTGTACTACTGACACATTTATACTAACGCGCAAGCGAATAAAATATATATATAAAATAAAACAAATGTAATTTTAACGACAACTGCAGAAATTCTCGCGCGCTCATTGGCTTATTTTTATTATCAATAAGCGGACAGACGCATGAATTTATAATTTATGCGATGCGTACACGAGCGAGAGCGGACAATTTGACAATTTATAATCGTAAAAAACAAATTGACGTCAGTTTTTCATGCGTCTGTCCCGTTATTATATTGACCATGAATTTCGTCATAACATTGTCAAAGTAGTCTGCGGACCCGATCCACAGCTACTTTAACAATGTTATGACGAAATTCATGATCAATAACAGGACAGACGCACGAAAAACTGACGTCAATTTGTTAAATAGCAGATCGGCAACTAAATCGCACTGTTACGGAGCTTAAGTAAAATACAAGAGCAACGTAACAGAATCGAGAACCTTGACCAACAAATGATTAACCGACCAGTACGTGCTTAGCACTGTAAATTTTTTGCAACATTTCTTCGACTTCTTCGCCTTCCTCTGTGAAAACGCACCCAGAACCACGACGGCTGAAATTTCGAATAGGCCATTTTCGAGTTACCTTGTGCCTCTGTTTCAAAACAAGTCCGCGTGCAAAGACCTTTCATATGAAAATTAGTTAAATTTACATGAAAACGAACCTGTAGGCGGAACACATTTTCATACGAATGGTTTTGCCCGAAGACTCGTCTTCGCACAGAGGCAAAAGACAACTCGATCGGACATGGCCTATTGCCTATTTGGAATTTAACATTGCTTTAAATGTTCAGCTGGGGCATGTACTAAACCAAGAAATGGAAGGGAGAAAAGCCAAGTTATCTATTTGCCATGAAGATGTACTTACTTTTAAGGAATGTCGTTTTCCCGACACCATCATAAATAGCATTCACTCCTTTACCATCTGTGATCCTGTTAACCTCTTCAACAAAGTCTTTCTGTGAATAAAGGATGACCTCATCTGCCCCAGCCTCCTTCGCTATTGCTGCTTTGGCCTCGGTGCTAGTTGTTCCAATCACAAACGCTCCTTAAGGTGAGAAACATTAAACAGTTGGCTGGTTTGAATGGACAGCCCGTGCATGATTTAATACTGAGGACGACCCTATGTGCTAAGATTAGAAAATGAATAAAGATAAACTTAACTTTATCGCCTATACGTTTTACATTTTGTGGCAGCTATTGAAAATCTGGAGCGAGGTCCAGAATCTAGAAATTTTCGGGAAACGGTCCGAGTTCTCGTCAAGCGATCGGACCTTCCGGTAATTTCCGAATTTTCTTGGCCGTCCCACACTCCCACAAATTCTAGGTTCCAGACCGCGCATCAATTACCAAGAACTCGCGCGCGTAGATCAGTCCTCTCGCGCTCTCTCGCACGCAATTTCGCGTCACGATCGATGGGTATTACAGAACAAAAAGGGGTACTCATAGTCTAATCTTTCTCACTAAACACTGGAACATTGGATAAGGCAATTCAAGAGTTTTCATTGGGTCAGCCATCATGGTATATAAGCAATTATACCGCACTCTAGAAATACGGTAAGCGTACATGTATGCGTATTTTTGGGAGGCGATTTGTTTTCTTAGTTTACTATATTTGGGGGGCTTAAAAAAAAGAAAACCAGCAACAACAACAATTTTATTCCACTAGCGTTTGTTAGATACGAAATGATTATAGCCAACTGACGTCGCTTCGCGTCTCCTTGGCTATCTATCACCTCACATTCAACGAGCGCTCTTGGAATAATTGCTAAATATGGTAGTGATATCTACCTGCATTCTTTGCAATCTGAATGATTAAGTTTCCCACTCCACCTGCCGCGGCATGAACCAGAATTTTGTCCCCAGCTTTGATTGGGTAAGAAGAACGGGCAAAGGCATGGGCTGTGAATCCTTGCCATAAGGTGCTGGCTGCCTGCTCCATGGTGAGTTGGTCAGGTACTTTGACAGCACGTTCAGCAGGCACTTTACTGTACTGGGCATATGCATCTGAAACAGATAATATGTATAACAGTAGCTTGAATAAAAACGGAGTTAGAGATCTCTCTCTCTCTCTTCAGGCTGTTTCAAGGGATGAGGGATGTGGAGGGGGTGCTCAAAAGGAGAGACCCTTGGAATGAGGTTGAGATGAAGACCAGCTGTCATTCAGGTGACTGTGTGCTAATAGACCATTTTACAGTTGTCTGCTCAGTGACCTGGCCTTTGTATCGTAGCGAGGCTAGAGTTGACCTTGTTTTGATACAGACCTCACTGCTTTTGTTGTGTAAAATAAGTTGTTCTGATGCTAACTAGGTGCATTTACATGACAAAAGCAGTGAGGTCTGTATCAAAACAAGGTCAACTCTAGCCTCGCTGCTATACAAAGGCCAGGTCACTGAGCAGACAACTGTAAAATGGTCTATTAGGTAAGTGCTGATTAAAATTAGGGCAGGACATTGAAATTTGGCCATGACTGCAAAGTGAAAACTCTAAAACTTCCATTTTCAGTTTTTCAGTTTGACACAACTAAAGCTTGGCACACACAAGAGGGCTAGTCGCTACGGCTGTGTTGCCTGCAAACACTCAGTAGTCTAAATATTTTTGTCATACCTCCCAACTCAGATACGTTTTCTGATTGTAGGCATCTCACATGTTGTGGATCAAAACTCGCTAACTCCCTAGATCAAACAAAACTCTCTAACTCCCCAAGAAAACAACAACTTGAACTTTCGACATGATCAGGTCATGCTCTTTGAAACCACAGCAAATTTGTAAGCCAAACAATTTTTCGCAGTTTTTTTTTTCTATTTTTGAGGCGGGAGGTATAACAAAACACTTAATGGCTGGCCCCAAGGTAAACAGTGAGGTTTGTTTCCCCTCTACCTCAACATTGAGGGTCTCATTTAAAATTACAAGGATTTGTATGGAAAACCACTGAAGTGTGACTGGAGGGTAAAGCATCTTCTTCCTATACAAATCCCTCTAATTTCTAAGGTCCATAAAAATTTCCTCTTCAAGGATATAAACCTGAAAATTTGCATGTAAGCTTATTTGTAAATGTTCTTTCTATTTCTGATAACATTATGCATTACCAATGACTAAATCAGTGTGCCCTTGAAAAGCATGTCACATGATCAACTGAAGCAAAAAGCCAATTACATTTTTAAGTTAGATGGATTGAAAAATATCTTCCAACAATTAAATGCACTAACAAGTTATCCAGAAGCCTTGTGTAAGTTTAGTTATAATTTTTTTTTTGCCAATTTGTTCAGAAGGGATTTTGCCCTCAGTCTCGAGACAGAAGATATTGTGACATGAATATGAGCTAAAAATGGAACCATTTGTTACTTTATAAATTACATTTTATCTGATGGTTCAGCCAACGTTAACTCAGACAAATATGATTCTAATTAGTCCAATTTACAGAAGTTTTCTTACTTGCGCCAATAAAGCCAAAAGCAACTCTGTCACCAACAGACAAGCCCTGAACATCAGAACCCAGTTTTTCCACTGTTCCAGCTCCTTCAAATCCAAGAATTCCTCCAGGTTGCACTGGTTTCATTTCTCCTTTTCTGACAGCAACGTCAATGAAGTTTAAGCCAGCAAAATGATTTTTCACCAATACCTGTTCATAAGATCGCCAAAAATAAATAGCATTACCATACCTTTCTGCTAGGTTCTTAGGCAACAGGCTTTTTTACATGTAATGTCATGTTGGAAATGACTTTACTAGAGAACCCTGATAAAGGGTGAAAAATGGGAAATAAATGACTTTGCAATCAGACAGCAAGACTAGTATCTATACTACATGTATGAGCCTAAGATTTTCAGATGGCAAGATGACAACAATTCAGCTTGAAATGCTTATTCTGTCTGGTCCTTTTTCCACCCATGAAGAAGTATTAATAAGGACCTTCAAAACTTTACAAAATATAAACAGACAGATTACTAAGGGAAACGCTGCAAGAAAAATTAAGTAACGATAGGCTGTTTCATGAACAAGGTCAATGGTTAACGGACAACTTGATACCGTCAATCAACCCAAATTAGTTCAAGGGTGTACTAGAGCCATTAAATAATTAATGGTCAATCTCTTGTTTTCACATGTCTTGTTTTCACATCCTTTATCCAGTTGCATACGATGAAAACACTTATTGGCCCTTTATTACGATTAAACTTTGAACTATTGTCAGCAATTTAAGTTTATAAGGAAATATTATAATCCTGTCTAGACTGACAAACGGCATATAACTTGTTCGCTAGCTAAAAAAGGAAAATCGATCGGCCCTTTGTAGATAGAATTCCTAGCTTTTCAACTTAAGTTCATCTTCACTAGCTGGTAACACTAGCCTTGTCTATTGATAAAGCTATCTACACTCGGCTAGTATTACGGTATGCTATAACACAATGACTTCCAGAATCAGTGACCATCAGTGATGTCTAAAATATAGCTATGGATTATTACCTCGCCCTTCCCTGGTTCCGGAATAGGGGCATCTTCATAGCTAAGGTTGCTGGAATCACCGTAGTCGAGTATCTTTACCGCCTTCATTGACATATTAGAAAATAGAGACAAGCGGAGTCGAGCTACTTGTTTAACAGGAGACAAAAAAAAAGCGTCGCAAACAAATCGACATGGATTCACAATGGCCGCCTTTAGATTTCGAGCGCGGGCTCCTTCAGTTTGTGTAAACATTGCGTGACATTTGGCTACAACTTCAGTCACGCGATCTTGTGTCTTCGACTTCTAGTCAAGGTATCTCTATTTAGGTAAAGAGGTCGATCAGGAGTAACGTCTGTATCTTTGCATCTATTTCGAGCTTGCCTTGCTTGGTTTTCGAGTTCTGGGTACATTGACCATCGAGTTCGCGTGAGTTGGGCTCTCAAACATCTCTACCCCGCAGGGGAAACTCAAGGGCTCCTCCCTCGAAGATCGAAGGCCCGCAGTTCTTCCAACCAGCGGCTGCTAACAATCAATTTACTTTCTTCTCAGGAGGTTTCCTTCTGTTGTGATGGAGGTTGTGATGTTATTTTCCGTTGTCTAGTTCTCCTTCATTTGTCTTGCTGGCCCTAAGAGTATGGCGCACCCTGCATGTGCAAAAAAGCTTACTGAGCGCGTCAATTTTGGATTCGCGCTCGATGGAATACCAGAAAACTTGACCCCGCTCGCGCATGATAGCACAAGAAAGTGAGGAAAAAAGCTGCCATTTTATCCTTCAATACATTTTGAATTCACGGTAGTTAGGAGAAGAGTTTGTAGGGATGCTAATAACAGTATTTCGTTTAACAGACGTCAAGGAATTGAAGAGGCCTTGAAGCAAGTTGATGGCTCTAGCGAGACGGTAGTTAACACACTTAGGGAGTATGTTGTTATGAACTCCACATTGAAAAGTATTCTACAGCNTTAACAGGAGACAAAAAAAAAGCGTCGCAAACAAATCGACATGGATTCACAATGGCCGCCTTTAGATTTCGAGCGCGGGCTCCTTCAGTTTGTGTAAACATTGCGTGACATTTGGCTACAGCTTCAGTCACGCGATCTTTTGTCTTCGACTTCCAGTCAAGGTATCTCTATTTATGTAAAGAGGTCGATCAGGGGTAACTTCTGTATCTTTGCATCTATTTCGAGCTTGTCTTGCTTGGTTTTCGAGTTCTGGGCACATTGACCATCGAGTTCGCGTGAATAAAATAAAGGAGGAATAAAATAAAAAAAATTCGGAGGAATAAAATAAGAAGGAATATTTTATTCGGAGGAATAAAATAATAATAAAAAAAGTTCCCGTGAGTTGGGCTCTCAAACATCTCGACCCCCAAGGAGAAACTCAAGGGCTCCTCCCTCGAAGATCGAAGGCCCGCAGTCCTTCCACCCAGCGGCTGCTGACAATCAATTTACTCTCTTCTGGTTTCTTCTGTTGTAATGGATGTTGTGATGTTATTTTCCATTGTCTAGTTCTTCATCATTTGTCTTGCTGGCCCTTAAGAGTATGGCACATCCTGCATGTGCAAAAAAGCTTACTGGACGCGTCAATTTTGGATTCGCGCTCGATGGAATACCAGAAAACTTGGCCCCGCTCGCGCATGATAGCACAAGAAAGTGAGGAAAAAAGCTGCCATCTTATCCTTCAATACATTTTGAATTCAGGGTAATTAGGAGAAGAGTTTGCAGGCATACTAATAACAGTATTTCGTCTAACAGACGTCAAGGAATTGAAGAGGCCTTAAAACAAGTTGATGGCTCAAGCGAGACGGTAGTTAACACACTTAGGGAGTATGTTGTTATGAACTCCACATTGAAAAGTATTCTACAGCAGGTACGTTTGTGGTTAAGACTTATAGGAACACGGTTCTTTGC